TTTTCTAAAAGTTTTGTTTTGGTTTTGTCTTTAAGCGGTTGATACAATTTACCTCTGGAGCCCTCTTGGCCTGGACTTTTCTTTGTGGGAAAATTTTCAGTGATAATTTCTGTAATTCACGAAGGGCTGTTTCACTTTTCTCTTTCTTGAGGTTTTGGTAATTGTGTCCTTTAAGGAATTGATTTAGTAAAGTTGTTCATAATATGCCCTCACTACATTTTTAAGACCCTTAGGATATGTAGAAATGTCCTATTTTTATTTCTTATTTTGGTAAAAAATTTTCTGTAGTCTAGTTGTTGGTTGTAGTTGTGTGCTCTTATCCAACTCCTATCAACTCTATATAGGGTTTCCAGGGCTGTATATCTTTACTGGAGCAGAAAGTCCCATTGTTCTTCTGTGGATTGTCTGGTAGATTTGAACTGCTGACCTTGTGAGTAGCAGTCTAACGTAAAAGGAAGTATACTACCAGGGCGCCTTTTAGTCAATCTAGAGTGTTACTTTATTGAGTTTCTTCTGTTGTTTTGTTTTCAATTTTATTGAATTCTCTTTTAATTTCCTTCCTTCTACTTTCTCCGTGGAGTCCTGGTATAGCGCTGTAGTGTAGACTAAGCACTGGACCTTAAGTTGTTTCGAACAGCAGTGTCATTGGTTCAAACTAACCAGCTGTTCTTGGAAACTATAATCCAGGGTCACTGTGTTGGAACTGACTCAACGGCACTTAACAACACCAATAATTTTCTTTACAGTTAATTTGTTCTTCTAGCTTTTTGAGATAGAAGCTTAGATTATTGGTGTTTAGACCTTTCTTTTGATACATGAGTTGTTTGCAAGTTCTATTTTTGAATATTTGGTATTTTCTAGATGTTTCCGATACTGATTTATAAATTAATCTATTTGTGGCCATAGAATAGTTTGCATGTTCTCATTCTTTTAAATTTATTGAAACTTGTTTTTGCATTGCACATGTTCCATCTTGGTGACTATTCCATGCACATCTAAAGAATGCCCATTCTGCCGACATAGACATATTTTTGAGTGACAATTGGATCAAGTGATTTGAGTCTTTTGGTGAAATCTATTATATCCTGATTTTCTGTCTACCGCGCTCACTATTCATTACTGAAATCCCCAACTGTAATTGTGGATTTGTCTGCTTCTCTTTTTAACTCTGTCTGTTTTTACATTATGTATTTTACAGCTCTGTTAATTAGGTACATACACATTAGGATTAAGTTTCTTGAATAACTGACCATTTATTATATGATTTTCCCGTTTTATCACCTTGTTCTGAAATCAACTTTGTGCAAGATTATCGTAAGCTCCTCTGTTTCCTATGAAAAACTGTACCTTCAAAGAGACCCAACTAAATAGAATTCTTAGAGACCACATTTAGTTGGGTCTTTTGTTGTACAGTGAAACCTGTGTAAAGCACATACCTGTCAGAGAAGGAAGACTCAGATATTCCCACTAATAGTGATAGAAAATGGTAAGACTGTTCCTTGTCAAAGGTTCTACACTTGGTGAGCCCCAGAGAAAGAGAGCCATCCTGTAGACTTTGGCTCTCACAGGTGTGGTGTCCCTGTGTGTACACACGTGTGGGGCCCTGAGGGGCCCTGAGGGAGCCGTTCAGCAGTGGTGTTGACAGCTCTCTTTGCATATTTGCAGTCTGTAGCTCTTTTTCTCCCAAGGATGTTGGGAGTGATCTATCTAATGTTCCTGTCCCTAGCTCACTTGTCTATATCATCCACAGCCCCCCCCCCCCCCCCCGTCATGTTGCTGTTGTTACAGCTGTTGAGTCAATTCCAATCGTGTAATACATGATTTGAAATCCTTGTGGAGATGTGCAGTCTTAAGATGTCAAGCATTTCTGTGGAGTATAATGTCAAAATCGCAGCCTGCATTATGTTCATGTTTAGAAATTTAAACATCACAAAAAGCAGATAGCAAATAATATTCATATCTCAAGACTCAAAATTGTGATGCATTTAATTATAGATAAAAGAATAACTCTAGTTATTTCTGTAAGTGTATAATTTATGACTTCTTATTGAGGCTTTCTGCTTCCGTAAAGATTTACAGGGTCGCTATGAGTCGGAACCAACTCCATGGTACATCACCCCCACTACCTCCCCATATTAATCTCCTAAATCAGATGAACAATAACTGTAATACAGCAAGTTCCCAACGTGGGCAGCCATGCTCATCATGATTGTATTATTGTTGTATGATAGGGTAGGATCCAGACCTCAGAAAGAACCCAGGTGGTACTGTAGTGAAGCACTCAGCTGCTAACTGAAAGGTTGACAGTTTAAAGCCATGCAGTGGTTCCAGGGCCTCCCGCCCCCACTCCCCTCCAAAGATTTCCACTCTCACATGGAGCTGCTGTGAGTTGAGCGTACTTACCACATTGCGTGACCCTGAGCAAGTCATGGGGCTTGTTTTGCTAATCTGAAGAGTGGGGATGTACTTACTAGAGCTAACTTGCTTGGAAGGTTGATTATCTTCTAGCCTGGAAGTCTAAGCGGGAAACTTCTTTGTATCCTACCCTCTGACCTGTCCTCTGGCATGGTTTCAGGAACAGCTGATGAGCTGAAGTCAGTATTGGAGGGAGTGGCTTCCTGTTACTTCCTTTCCAGGCAGCATTTCCTTATGGATTTATCAGCTGTGTGTGCTTTCTGATACAAGGTTTTAGTTGGATTTGTCTGTTTTGTGGGGAATTCACTCATGTTGGGAGTGTCCACATGTCCAAGAGGACACTAAAGGTGTTAGTTCCTTGTAGTCTTCTTTGAACTTTTTATTTTCACATAGTTGTAGAGTCATAATGTAGAGTATTTCTATCCTCTCTGCCCCTTCCCTGACTGTAGTGCAATGTTGTCTGCTGGCTTGGAGCCATTATTGTCTGAACATTTTCTGTTTGCTGTGCTGCTCCTTTCCTGATCCTCAGGCCAAATGAGCAGGCTTTTGGTAATCTTGTTGTGAACATTTCAGAGTTGCTAGCTCCATGAGTGTCCAGTCTAGGATATTTGAGGTGAAAGAAAGCCCAGGGACCTCACCACTACAAGGGTCCTTAGGTCCCGAGGTCTCTGGCTGGTCTGCCCTTTTCTTTCGGCTTGAATTCTTCTGAAATATTTTCTCTGTTCTTGCTTTTTTCTGTCTGTCAATTTGTTTAAGGTACCAAAATATCATTCTTTTGAATTCTTTTTCAGTTAGTTCCATTACCTGGTTTTTTTCCCCCTCAGAAATGTTTTCTGGCTCTGAATCTTGGTCATTTGTTTGAGCTAGTCTCTCTTGTTTCTTCATGTGAGCTAAAATTGTCTGTTGTCTCTGGGGCATTGTGGGGTTGTCATATTTTAAAAAGCAAAGTGCATTTGTTGGACCGGAAGGGGAGAAATCTCTGGTGGACTCTGGCAATTCAAGAAGCTCAAGAGATGGATGTGGGAGGGATGTGACAGCAGAGTTGCTGGCCTCAGAAGGAGTTCCTATTGACCCCAGTGTCATCTATGTTCAGAGCTTTCATCTGGAAAATAGGTCATGGTTTCAGTGTCTGTTAAGGACAACAGGGAAACAGGGTAACTGGTCTGGTGGCTCTGTGGGTTCTATAAGTCTGAATCTGAGCACAGCTGGACTCCAGCTCACACTGGGGTGGCTCTCAACCATGTGGCTTCAGACTCCTGGAGAGCAGGGCTTTGTATTGGAGGTGGAGGAGGGTTGGAGCTGACACTACCTCTAGTCACAAAGGGAATATGGGGAAAATGGAATGGCACCTTTCCTGTCATCTGTGGGAATCTGCTGTGCTGGGTCTTATTTTGTTGCTAAAGATGCTCACGAAATAGCCACATCCAGCCAGCTGTTCACCAGTTTAGTTTCTGTCTCGTGCCCTCCTTGCTCATCTTCTCCTCCCAGCAAGCACTCTATCCAAGTGTCTAGCCTTTTTCTGAAGTTGAGGGGGCCAGAATTTTCAACAGTGTGTGTTTTATTTGGTCTCTCGTGTCTTTATTGTAGAGTGTCTGTGTAGTGTGTCTGCCTCGTGTGCCATCTTGCTTGGAAGTCCTAGTTGGATTTTTTGACTGATACTTCCTTGAATGTTGTTATCTTTGACAACTTCAATCTTTACCCATTTATCATGATGTTACCTATTGGTCAACTTCTAGAGAGTTTTGTTTTGTTTACATTGAGGTATAACCTATACCAAAGGCTGTGGTCATTGAACTTCATCACTAAGTATTTTAAGTCCTCTTTGCTTTCAGCAAGCAAAGTTGTATCATCTGCTCATTAAGGTTATTAGTTAGCCTTCCTACAGTCCTTCCTCACTTAATCCAGATTCTCAGCTTATTTGCTCAGCCTCCATGACTATGTCTAGTTTCTGCTTCCAGAAATTCTGTTAGCACAGGTCTCGAGAGAGATACCAGAGCTCTTAGATCTTCTGGAAACCTTTCATGTTATTCTGTGCATTCATGTTGGGAAATCACTGCAAGAAAAGGTGCTAAGCATTAAAAACAACAGTCCATGGAGATATGGCAGTCTGCTTCCATAAAGACTACAGCCTTGGAGACACTATTGGACAGTTCTGTGCTTGGCAATGTGTTTGGTTTCTGGTTTTCATGCATCACTTAATTCCGTGGGTGTGTGATATATATATCAGATTTACATAGTCTGTAAACTGAATTGGAGTCCTGGTGTGGCACTGTGGGCTAATGCGTCAGACAGCAAAGTCCTTTGAACTGTAAGTTTGGTGGTCCAAGCTCACCAGCTGCTCTTTGGAAACCCTATACAGGGTCCAGGGTCACTGTGGGTCAGAATGGACTCGATGGCATTTAACAACAACAACAACAACAACATAAACTGAATTGCTGTCTGTTAAGTGACAGCAGATAGGAATTTGAAGAGGTAGGCCATTGTACAAGAACCTAGTCCTCGTTTGGATGGTGTGTTGATGGTGTGTTGATGTAACCCTCAGAATCTGTGTATTAAATCTCAGAATACAATTTTGTCTTTCCCAGTTGGAGTCATTCGTTGTCCAGTTTGCAGTCAAGAATGTGCTGAGAGACACATCATAGATAACTTCTTTGTGAAGGACACTACTGAGGTTCCCAGCAGTACAGTAGAAAAGTCCAATCAGGTAAGTGTGGTGACTCTTGAACCTTTGACCTCCTCGGGGTGAGGCAACCTAAAAACTGAAAGACTCTAAAATGAGTCAAATGGTAGGCCTTTATTGGTAGCTCTGAAAAGCTATACGTAGGAAAACATATCTTATTAGTGTGGGTTCTACATTTTTAAAGAAGTAATTTCTTTATAATCGTGTCATATGAGACAAATTTTTCCATTTATATAATCGTTAAGGAGCCTGGTGATGAAACACTTAAGGCCTTAAGTTGCTCAACTGAAAGGTCAGTGTAGAACCCAGCTGCCACTCCACTTGTGAAGTGTGTGGCAGTCTCCTCTCTCTTTCAGGATCACTGTGAGTTGGAGTCAATAGTACCCAATAAAAATAATTCATTGATTTTCAGTAAGGTTGTGTTTACTTAGTCTTCTTTTGTCACAGAAACTTAAAAAATAGGGAGAGAATTTGATCAATTATTATACCAGAGATACAATCTGGTCACTATCTGAAATTGGCTACATCTGGTATGAGAACAGAGTGCATATCAGGGTATTGTAGGGTGAATTGGAGCTCAGAAGCATGAGAACTGAGCTTGCATGGAGGGGCCAAATTACAGGTCATGTCAGGTTGATCTGCCTGATTGGAAGGTGAGAGATGATTGGTACATAAACCACCACTAGGGTGGTAGTAGAGCCTTTCACAGAAGCAAATAAAGGGGTGGGGGTAGTGTGTGTAGGCTGGGTTTTGGATCATGACTTGGTTTTGAGTTTGCATTATCTAGGCGCTCTGGTAGCTTAGTGGTTACAAGTCGGCCTGAGAACCACAAGGTCAGCAGTTGGAAACTACCAGCTGTTCTGTGGGAAAAAGATGAGGCTTTCTGCTCCCATAAAGATTTACAGCCTTGGAAATCCTCCTATACAGGGTCACTATGAGTCAGAACCAACTCCACGGCACATAACAACATAACAGGAGACTTACAGTACAGATGTCCTCAGGGGTCAGACTGGAGCATGAAGAGTTTATTTATTTACTTAAAAGTCTTGTTATGAATAATTTCAGACATTACTAAAAAAGAGTTTAGCCATTCAAATTCCCAGATACCCATCATATAGCATCTGCTCTGCTTGTATCTTGACACTACCACCACCCGTCCCCCACAGGGTTGATCCCAGATGTTATTTCATTTCATCTACAAATATTTTCTATGGAAGAAGTTAACATTAATTTCTAAACATTAACAAACACCCAGACAATGATCTATGCCTGTAATTCTTGTAGTAGTTTGTTTTGATTTTTGTAAAACGATGGTCTAAACAATGCAGTTGGTCAGTATATCGCAAATATCTCTGTATCGGTCTGAAGTTGCACCGTACACTTCCGCTGTCCGTACTTTCCATTTATCATATTCGTTGGATAAACTAGGGAGTTTGTTCACTAGCATTACTGTCTAAGGGATTTCACATGCTTCTCTGTCTGCAGTATTTTTAATCTGGTAATAAAGAGTCGTGTTTAGATCAGGGTCCTCTGGGGTGAGGGAGTTTAAGAATATTTTCATTCATGTGTCCATGTGTATTTCTATTAGGAGGGTGGTATCTGAGGTCCATTTTCCTCTGTTATTAATGATCATTAAAGAAGATCTGGTAGTGTAGTGGGGCACATGTTGGGCTGCTAACCACAAGGTCAGCATTTCAAGTCCACCAGCGGTTTTGCAGGAGAAGGATGAGGCTTTCTGGTACCATAAAGATTTATAGTCTCGGAAATCCTATACAGAGTCACTATGATACAGAACTGACTCAACAGCGTACCACCACCACCACCATCCCATGGCCAATAATGATCATTGCCTAAATCCTTTTATTTCATGATGGCTTTGCAAATGGTGACATTCATATTCTATCATTCCCTTTCATTCTTATCTGAAGTAAAGAGATAACAGCGGTCTTTATAAATTTCTTGGCAACTCTAAACTATAGGATGACTATTGGACCACCACCTGCGCCTCAGAACACTACACAGACAGGGTGGCAATGAGTGAGCAACCGCTCGACAACACTTAATAACAAGTAACAAAGTAGTTCTAGAGGACAGAAAGCTGGAACACTTTAGATACGTTTTTTAGAGACACAAGTTTCTTAGTGTCCTTAAGGGATGACCACTGAGCTGTGTGTATGTTGTATGTAGGTGTACATATGTATACATATTGTGATGCACTCATGGGTTTTTCACATGAAATGTTGAATGGGAGTCAGAGCAAGTTGGTGGTATAGGCAGACGCACTGAGAAGACCCTCTGCAACAAATACATGGGAGACTGAAGTTAGGCCAGAGAGGTGGAGTGAGTGCTGAGTGGACGGGGAAACTGAACAGGAACAGCGAGAGAGAAGTTAAACGAAAGTGCAGGCTATCAGCTGGCATGGAATGGCGCGGCCAGCTGCTGTCAAAGTGGCCTGTTGCCAGTGGGAAACAAGTGGGCTGCAGTCCTCCTGGTAGGCAGAGTGGCCATTTCAGCCATCACCAACAAAGTGGCACTAGTGGCACTTGCTCCTGCGCAGAGTCTGCCTGGGGTCCAGTGCCAGGCACACTGCCCTTTTTCTGGAGGCAAACGGAGAACAATTAGCACTGCTTGGTAAGGAATTTAAAGAATTCTGTTTAGGCGCCTTCAGTGAATTGAGAGAAAGATTGAAGAAAGCAAGGAATAAGTCAGGAAAACTGACAAAGTAAGTGAAAAATTGGAAACCATACCAAAAACAGCAGTTGGCAAGCCAGAAGATTAATACTATGTCTTCAAAATATTCATCTTCCAGAGTAACAATCAGAAGAAAGATTGAAAAAAAATCTTAAGAAAGCTAAGATTTGTGTGGGACACCATCATGAGGAATGACTTATATGAGTTGGAATTCCAGAACAGGGAGAGACAAAACTGTAGATAAAATGTCTAAGAGTTACTGGAAGAAAATGCCCCTAATATCATGAACAATGAGAAGATAGCCATTCAAGAAGTTAAATGAACTACAAACAGGATTAGACTTCAAAAGAAATCACCAAGACATTATAATGAAACTTTCAAAACCAAATACAAGGTATAAAAATCCTGAGAACAGATCAGGAAAAACAATGAGATGGCATATATGAAACTCTGAAAGAAAAAAATGGCCATCCAAGAATCATATACCCAGCAAAATTGTCTTATCAAATTTGATGGTGAAATTAGGACACTTTCAGATAAACAGAAATTAAAAGAATTTGCAAAAGCCAGACCAACCATATAAAACTACTAAAGGGAACTCTTTGAACAGAATACAAGCAACTGCAGAAAACAACCTGAGACTAACATACATGATACTATCACCCAGAACGCAACCTAGACATAGAAGTAGTCAAGGTAAAAGAAGCCTTTGTTGTTGTTGTTATGTGCTGTGGAGTTGGTGCTGTACAGGGTTTCCTAGGATGTAAATCTGTGGGAGCAGAAAGCCTCTTCTTTCTCCCACTGAACAGCTGGTAGTTTCAAACTCCTGACTCTGAAGTTAGCAGCCCAATTCATAACCACTATGCTACCAGCTCCTTAAAACAAACCTAGAAGACTGAAAATAGGGAACCAGAGATACCAATTTGCAAGAACAACAAAAAAACCCCAAAGTGTATTTAAATAAAAAGAAGTCATGTAGTTGTAGAACTTCCAAATGAGTCCTGGGGTGGCGCTGTGGGTTAATGCACTGGACTGCAAAGTTGTTTGAACCGCAAGGTTGGCAGTTCAAGCTCACCAGCTGCTTCTCAGAAACCCTATACAGGATCACTGTGGGTCAAAACTGACTCTCTGACACTTAACAATAACAGAATTTCGAAATGAAGGGGAACGCAACTAGATTTCAAGAAAAGATAAAATAACCCTAACTGTAACCTTACAACTAGCCCAATCCCTACCCTAACCTCCTAACATCCTAACCCTAACATCCTAACCCTAACCCTAACCCTAACCCAACACTGAATGACATCCTAGGCCTTGCCACAGCCCTAATTCCTTACTCCTACCCACCACATAAATAAAAGATGTTGTGGTGAAGAAGCGTAAAAAGGGAACCCACAGAATGGGAAAGAACCTTTTGCAATGACACATCAGACAAGGGACTCATTTCTAAAATATATAGGAAACCACAACACCTCTACAAGAAAAAAACAAAAACCCAATTAAAAAATGGGCACAGGACATGAACAGACACTTCACCAGGGAGGAGATCCAGGCAGCCAACAAACATATGTATGAAGAAATGTTCATGATGACAAGCCATTAGAGAGATGCAAATCAAAACAACAATGAGATATTTCACATTAGCAATAGCAGCAAAGATGAAAAAAGTAGAAGACAATAAATGCTGGCGGGGATGTGGAGAGACTGGGACACTCCTTGCATTGCTGGTGGGACTGCAAAATGATCCAACCTCTCTGGAAAGCAATATGGCGCTTCCTTAACAGATTGGAAATAGAAATACCTTATGACCAGCAAGTCCTCGACAGTCTTTCTTATTCATTGTCCAACTGTCACATGCATACCAACACTATGGCTTGTCGTCTTGGGCACACCTTGGTCCTCAAACTGACATCTTTGTTCTTGAACCCTTTAAAGAAGTCATGAGCAGCAGATTTGCCTAGTACAACATGACCATCATTTGATTTCTTGATTGCAGCTTCCATGAGTGTTGATAGTGGATCCAAGCAAACTGAAGTCTTTGACGATTTCAATCTTTTCTCCATTTCTTATGATATTATTTATTGATCCAGTGGTGAGGAGTTTTGTTTTCTTTACATTGAGATGCAACCCATACTGAAGGCTGTATTCTTTGATCTTCATCAATAAGTGCTTTAAGTTTCAGCAAGCCAGGTTATATATCATCTGCAGATTGCAAGTTGTTAATGAGTCTTCCTCCAATTCTGATAACAGATAGATGTTTTAACTTTCAGCAAGCCAGGTTATATATCATCTGCAGATTGCAAGTTGTTAATGAGTCTTCCTCCAATTCTGATGCCATATTCTTCATATAATCCAGTTTCTTGGCTGAATAAGTGTGATTAAAAATACAACCCTGTAGAATATCTTTCCTAATTTTGAACTATTCAGTGTCCCCTTGGTCTGTTTGAACAACTGCCTCTTGGTTTATGTACAGGTTCCTCATGAGTGCATTAGTGTTTCGAAATACTCGTTCTCTGCCGTGTTGTCCATAACTTGTCAAGCTTTACACAGTTGAAAGCTTTGTATGATCATTAAAGCACAGGTGAATATCTTTATGGTAGTCACTGATTTCAGCTAACATCTATCTGTTATCAGCAATGATATTTCCATTTTCTGAATCCAACTTGAACCTCGAGCCATTCCCTGCCAGTGTACTGTTGCAGCCGTTTAAAAATTACCTTTAGCAGACTTTTACTCGTTTGAAATATTAATGATATTGTCCAATGATTTCCACATTTTGCCATGTCACCTCTTTTTGGAATTGGCACAAATATGGATCTCTTTTTTTGGCCAGGTTGCTGTCCCTTTAATTTTTTGGCAGTGAATGCTTCCAGTGCAGTATCAGTTTGTTGAAAGCTTATAATTTCTGGGTCCTTGATCTTTGTCAATGCCTTCATTGCACCTTGGGCGTCTTCCTTAAGTACTATTGGCTCTTGATCATATCCTGTCTCTTGAAATGGTTGAACATCATTCTTTTTTGTATTGGTGTTGTTATTAAGTGCTGTTGAGATAGTCCCTATGCATAATGAGCCTGTATAGGTTTTCCAAGGAATAGCTGGTGAGTTTGAATTTGAACCATCAACCTCACAGTTGAAACCAACCTTGCGGTCCAGTACTTTAATCCACAGTGCCACACCCAGATTCCATATTCCTTCCATCTTCTTTTGATACTTTCTGCATCATTCAATATTTTGCCCACATAATCCTTTAATACTGTAAGTTTGAGACTTGACTTTTTTCTTCAGTTCTTTCAGCTTGAGAAATGCTGAGGGTGTTCGTTCTTTCTGGTTTCTAACTACAGGTCTTTGCACATTTCATTATAATACTTGACTTTATCTTCTCAAACTGCTCTTTGAAATTTTTCTGTTTAGCTTTTTATATTCCTTATTTCTCTCATTTGCTTTAGCATCGCATCTCTAGGCTGGAAAGTTAAGTTTCAGAGTCTCGTCTGACTTCCATTTTGGTCTTTTCTTTCTTTTCTTCTTGATGACATTTCTGCTTTCTTCCTGTATAATGTTATTTGTTCTTGAGGTGATCACTTCTAAATTCAGATGGAATATGTTCAAGGTCAAATTTTGACTCTCGTGGAATTGTTTTAATTTTCTTCAGCATCCACCTGAATTTGCATATGAGCAATTGATGGTCTGTTCCCCAGTCTGTCCCTGGCTTTGTTTTCTCCACTGTCTCTTCCCACAGATGTAGTCAGTTTGATTTCTGTGTATTCCATCTGGTGATGTCCATATGTATAGTTGTCTTTTATGTCATTTTAAAAAAGATCTTTGAATAGAGAAGTCATTTGTCTTGTAAAATTCTATCATGTGATCTCCAGCATTTCTATCACCAAGGCCCTATTTTCCAACTACTGATCCTTCCTCTTTGTTTCCAACCATTTCATTCCAATTTCTGGTATTTATCAGTATATCTTGATTGCATGTTTGATGTTTGATCAATTTCCAACTGAAGAAGTTGGTAGAAATTTTCAATTTCATCATTACTGGTGGTTGGTGCATACATTTGAGTAATACTGGTATTGACTGGTCTTCATTGTAGGAGTGTGGGATAATATCCTCTTATAGACATTATGCTTCCAGACAGATCTTGGAATGTTCTTTTTGATGATGAATTATGACACTATTCCTTTTCAATTAGTCATTCAAAATGATTCAATTAGTCAGATACAAAATGGCCAATACTGTTCCATTTGTAGCTTACATGAGTGCCATTATCCCAACAGCACTTGTCCAAACCACGCCACCTCCCCCCCTCATTTGTAGCTCTGTAGCAGTGCCATTATCCTAGCAGCTCCTGTCCACACCCCAATTACAGATTCTATATACCAGTGCCATTACTCCAGCAGTGCCACTCCACCCCCATGTATGGATGGTGTCAAAGGATAACCTCCACGACTGCTCAGGAAAAGCTTCTGTTGCCTTCATTTCAGAGTTGAGTACTCTTAAGTTCTCTGCGCAAAACCACTTAGCCAGTAAATTGGGAAACTGAGATTAAAGCCTGCCCTCCATCTGTTAGACTAGATGATGTAAGGGCAGGCACCATGTTTACTTTCCTGATTGTTGTATCACTGACATTTAGCACAGTGCCTGTACTATTTCATGTATTGAACTAAGCAGAAAACATACTTATGTTTTCACATAGGTCAGTATTTTCATTTTATAAATACTATTTATGTAGTATGTATTCTATATTTGTATTGTGCCACTGCATTCTTATCAACGGAGAAAAACGGCAGCATCAATGGGCTCAAGTGTGGCAACAGTAGTGAGGTTGGCCCAGGATCAGGCAGTGTTTCGTTCTACTGTGCATAAGGTCGCTGTGAGTTGGTACTTACTCGATGGCACCTAACAACAACAACAACAACTATGAGTTAGTGTGCTGGACTGCAAAGTCAGTTTGAGCTGCAAGGTCGGTGGTTCAAGCTCATCAACTGCTCCTTGGAATGGTCACTATGAGTCTGAACCAAGTTGACAGCACTTAACAACAGCAATGTGTATAATGTAGATGTTATACATGTAACAGCTTAATATATAATAATAGTTTAAACTTGCCAGCAGTATTAAGAAAATAAGGATAGAGTTGAGGCTAGCTGGAGAAGTCCTTTATGCATGACTATTTGTGACCAGCTTTCGTTTTTCTCAAACTGCTGAGGCTATTTTCCTTTTATTGCCAGGTGTGCACTAGCTGTGAGGACAATGCGGAAGCAAATGGCTTTTGTGTGGAGTGTGTGGAGTGGCTCTGCAAGACCTGCATTAGAGCCCATCAGAGGGTCAAGTTCACAAAAGACCACACTGTCAGACAGAAAGAGGAGGTATCTCCAGGTAATGATGCCCTAACACTTGTCTTCTGTTCCTCTCCCTCTTCCTCCCACCTTCTTTTTTTCTTTCCTATATTGACTCTGGTGCTGTGGGCTAATGCGTCAGATTGCAAAGTCCTTTGAACTGCAAGGTCGGTGGTTCAAGCTCACTAACTGCTCCTTGGAAACCCTATACAGGGTCACTATGGGTCGGAATCGACTTCATGGCACTTAACAACAACAACAACATATTGACTCTAAGGTAGTTAACAACAATATTGATCTGTTAGGATACATTTGTAAGCACACGTCTCTTTTTGTTTTTTAAGTACAAGCAGGTCGGTTTTGTCATTGAAATATGAATACATATAAATGTTGACAAAGTTAAGTGAATGGAGACAGAATTTTCTTGCCTTGACCTCATACTTCCAACCTGCCCTGCTTCTGTAAACTTCAGTTTGGTGTGAATGCGCAGCAAGGGGTAAAAGTTCCTTTGAGATTTTTTCTATTTCTTCCTTTACCTCTTAAGATGATAAAGGATGGATTTAATCAAAGTTTTAGATTTCTTCCTTCGGATATTTTTGTAGTAAAATACTTTCATGGTGTTTATCTGATATGTAAATAACCAAAGAAGCTTTGTTATAGTTTGATTTTCTGGGTTTTTATTATGTTGTTTTTAATATAAAGGTATTTTTGCAAATTTCTTTGCCTCTTTTCGATTCACTAAGTCAACTAGTGTTTGTATGCCAGCTTGGTATTCCAGGAAGCCTGTTGGGTACTGGGGCTGAGAAACGGAGCCCTAGTGGTGTAGTGGCCAGGCAGTCCTCAGGAGAAAGATGAGAATTTGTGCTTCTGGAAAGATATACAGTCTCAGAAGTTGTTGTTGTTGTTGTTAGTGCCATCAAGTCAGTTCCAACTCATAGCAACCCTATATAGTGTTTTTGAACTGCTGACCCTGTGATTTACAGTCCACACCAGGATTCTTGGAGAACCCTACACAGGGTTGCTATGAGTTGGATTCAACTAAACAGCACACAGCCAGGTGAATAAGATAGATACTTCCTGCCCTGCAGGAAATTTACAGTGTAATAAACACTAGAAGCACATGAGCAATCATAGTTTGGCCTTAAATTCTCCTGGAACACGTAATAGGAATGCCCATCTCTTAATTGGGAGTTAGTTTAGTGGCGAAATTTGTGACTTCGAGGATTAGTAGAAGCTTGTCTCATGAAGGAGAGGGCTGGGTAAGTGGTGAAGCCCTTGTGCAGATGTGCAAGGGGAGAGAGAGAGTTTGACGTACCCGGTGAGTGGAACCGTTCGACAAGGAGAAATAAGACATGAGACTTGGAGTCTGGAGACTCAGGAAAAGCGGGTATAAATTCTAAAGACACTGAAGGAATGACCCTAAAGGAGAAAAGTCCAGGTGTGGATGCAAGTTTAATTAAGCTTAAAAGTTTAATGCTAGAGAGATGTCTGTCTCTCTATAAAGCCAGCTTCGTATTGCAAGTGAGAGTAGAAGAAATAGCATTAAAAGCTGACCTGTGAGGGCATGGGGTTGGTATTTGAGATCAACCCAGTTGAAAGAAGTTCCATAAACAGAAGACTGCCTGGGAACATTGAGGTTACATTTGAAATGTAAGCCATTACCCTTAAGCCTCAACAATCTGGGTGTGGACTTAGCTAGTGCTGGGGTTTAGAGAATCTCAACAGAGTAAAAGATGCAGATAATGCCATATGCTAAGTGTAGGAGTCTCACATTTAACTAGCGAATGGAAGAAAGTGCTGGAGAATATTGACAGGTGGATACATGGAATGAATGGTCAGGGAGTGGAGATATCAGTGAGAGTTGTTGCTGAGTGCTGCTGCATTGGTTATGACTCATAACAACCCTGTATAGGGTTTCCAAGGAGTGACAGGTGAGTCTGAATCACTGACCTTGTGGTCAGTAGTATATTGCTTATTCTACAGCAGTACACCAGGGCTCCATAGTGAGAGTTGTTGTTGTTGTTAAGTGCCGTTGATTTGGTTCTGACCCATAGTGACCCTGTCTAGGGTTTCCAAGGCACAGCTGGTGAGCTTGAACTGCCTTCCTTGTGGTTCAAACTGTGACTTGCCAGTCCAGTGCATTAACCCATAGTGCCACACCAGGACTCCATAGTGAGAATATGGAGTGAACCTGTGAGTTGTAGAGGATAATAGTGAGGTACTAGGTAGACATTTCCGTTACAACTGGAAACATTGGAGGGAAAAGGAATAGCAGGCAGCCAACAAGTAAGATACCCAGCAGACCAGTTTATATTAATTTGTAAGACTTTGAAAATCCTCTGATCTCTGAGACTATCTAAGTAATGGCCCTGCCTTCCAGTGTCTGGGAGTTGGCCATGTGGTTTTGTTGTTGTTAGGTGCCATCGAGTCGGTCCGGACTCATAGTGAGCTTATGCACATCAGAACATAACACTGCCCAGTCCTAGGCCAACCTCACAGTCATTACTATGCCTGAGCCCCATCTCATTGGGGGTCTTCCTCTTTTTTTCCCCAACTCTGCACTTTAGCAAATTCTCTAGATGGAGACCCCTTACCCTGGGCTTTAGCTCTGCCTTCCAACCTCACTGGGATGTCATAATTCTACACATTCATCTTTGGGCAGCTCTGTCCTCCTGGTCAGAGGAGGAGTGACCCTGGCAGACTTTGTTCTTCTGCCCTTTGGGGGTGGCAGCCCCTCAGCTCTGGGCTGTGTTCCATCCACTTGGTATACATTATTGACCACCCCACACTCTGGAACTGAGCTGATGGGAGGTCTGACATTTTGAAACCTTTGGAATCCCCCTCTTTGAGATTACAGAGAACTTGGCTGCATGCTTTGAAACTCCAGAGGCCCTGGGTAATGATGTAACTTGTAAGCTGATCCTCCCTCATTAACATGTAGAGGTTAGTATGAGGCAAACAGTGGAGGATAATTATATCCAGTCATGAAGTAGAGAACAACCACATAACACTAGAGGTCATGGCCTTGCCAAATGAACACATACTTTTAATCAGGACAGTGGGATACAATACAGTTAGTGAATTAGAAATACTTCCCTCATTTATAGATGTAACTATAGATATAGAACACCAGCCAGAAGGACGTATACCAGGTCATTAATAGTACTTGTGTCTGGAAGTGGGATTATTTCTGAAATTTTCCATCTTTACCTGTAAATTACTGAGATAATTTGTACTGTGTGATCAGTCATTCTGCCTGTTTGGATTCTGATTTTTCCATTTCACGTTATAATAGAACATATTTCCAAGTTTTCCTCCTCTTCTGGAAAACTGTTGAAAATTCATACAGATAACTGCAAAATGAGAGTGACCGTGTTGATTATTTCTGGGTTAATCCGTGTGCTCAGTGAGAATTTTTCAGTCATGAGAAGTAATGTGCTTGACTTTCTGAATTATATTAAAAACATAACAATGTGATATTGAGGACAGAGAGCACCCAAATGGCTCATACCCATTTATCATAAGCATCTTTTAACAACACACTTGGCCCTATCCAAATGCTTTCCTTTATTCTTGATTTAGTTTGGATTTATGCTTTGGAAAATGAAAAGCTCACTTACCTTTTCCTTCTGAAATTAACATTTTAAATTCTAAAATTAACATTTTCATCTGTAAAAATGAGTTGTAATTGTTCTGGAGATGAAACTGTAGCTCTTTCATATGGTAATGAGTTTGCATTTAAATGGACAGTCTCATAATTAGTTGCCATTCAGTTATGTTAATTTTGTTTTCTTTGGCACCTGTTGTTTCTACAGAAGCAGTTGGTGTGACCAGTCAAAGGCCAGTGTTTTGCCCTTTCCATAAAAAGGAGCAGCTGAAGCTCTACTGTGAGACTTGTGACAAACTCACCTGTCGGGATTGCCAGTTACTTGAACATAAAGAGCACAGGTACCAGTGTCTGCAGACAGGATGTTTGTCCAGCAGTGTGTTGGCCTACACCTGGATTTTGCTTCCTTGGCAACAGTGTGTTTAACAGCACTCTTGACTTCTACATCCTAGACAACAGTAACATATCCCCGCTGTGGTAACCAAAAATGTTGGCAGTCCAAAACTCACTAGCCACTCCACAGGAGTAAATATTCAGTCTCAGAAGCTCTATAGGTTTATGATGTTTCAGAATTGACTCGATGGCAGTGGGTTTAGTTAGCCTTTTTGTTAACCTGTGAGTGCCTTGCCACGGTGTCACATAGACTTCGTTAATAGTTAAGAAATCTTAAATAGCTTTTACTACTCTTTGCCCTGTCTGCCATATGAGCCGTTTAGCCATCTATGAATGGTGAGAGTGTGGCTTTCCTGTTTTGTTAAGTGTGCTGTGGAGTTGGTTCAGACTCACAGTGAACACGTATAGGATTTCTGAAGCTGTATATCTTTGCAGAGCAGAAAGCTTTATCTTTCTCCCCTCGAGTGGCTGGTGGGCTGAAACCATTGACCTTGTCCACAGTCCAGTGCTTGTTGTACAGAGCCACTGTGCTCCTGTGACTTCCCTGAACTCTCAGAATCCTTCTCAGAGTGTCATAGATTACATCATCTGCAAAGACTTCCTAACTGTTCATTTTGAGAGGAAAGCAAAACCTGCCTTCGGAGGTGTTTCTGGTCATTTTAGAAGACTATTGTTAAGTCCTTTACAATCATGGTTATTGTATGTGCTTACTAGACATTTCTTTACTGCTTTTACATTTACTTGTTTACTTATTTCTTCAGATATCAATTTATAGAAGAAGCTTTTCAGAACCAGAAAGTGATCATAGATACACTAATCACCAAACTCATGGAGAAAACAAAATACATAAAATTCACAGGAAATCAGATCCAAAACAGGTAACTATGTTTCTGGTATTATAATAATAGATGTTTATATAGCGCGCCATACGTACTTACGTTTAGAACAGAGCATTTTCTAGAACAGAGCATTACTCAAAGTGAATTGATGTGGCTATTTCAGAAACTATTTTTTGAATCTTTGGATTAGAAAACAGTTCTTTTCAGACATACATGAAGTTTCAAAATAAATATGATATCCATTTGCACTTAGTAACAGCATTTTTATTTGGTGGTTGTTGTTAAGTGCCGTTGAGTCTGGTTCCAACCCATAGTGACCCTGTGTAGGGTTTCTGAGGAGCAGCTAGTGAGTTTGAACCACTGACCTTACTGTTCAGAGGGCTTTGCAGTCTGGCGCATTAACTCACAGCGCCAGGAGTCCTTTTTTTTTTAAAGGTATTGATATTTAAAACTGCAGTGAGGTGGAAGCTTTTAGACTCCATGAGACCAGAGTCTGTTAAACACACCAAAGAAAATCTCATGCTCTATTAGGAGTGGATGGGAAGAAGATCTACTGAGTGAGGACTATTATAGCTCGAGGCGAGCAGTACTAAGTCGAAATACAAAGTGTTTTCAGGCATAGAGAACAAAGAAAGGTAGAGGGGGTTCAACTTTAGCTTTGGATTCCTTTGTCATGTTGAGGTCCATAGGTGATTTTTCCTCCCTAGGTGAATCACCCCAGCTGCTGCACTTATACACATTCTTCCCAGAAACATTGTTTACATACTGACCTCCTCCTGGAAATGCATGATGACCCTGCCATGCCTGTCCCCATATGTTTGATCATTTCCTCTCCCATGTATCCCTATTTTGTTCAAGCCTCTTCTAGGGGCTGCTGAACAGTCAAAATACAGCAGCCTTTCTTCTGCCAGGACTTTGTTTTCCTTAGGAGCTTTCACTAAAAAAAAAAAAACTGCACATTTTTACTTCACTTTGCCAAACTAACAGGCCTCATCTTCAGGGTGAGTAAGTATCATGAGAATATATTAGAAGGGTATCTCTCAGTCACAACAAAATGATAGATATCAAGATGAAAGGTGCCCAGGGAGGCAGAAGGGAAATGATTAAAGGTCAGCATCATTAGTGATTGCCTGTGAACTAGCCTGATTTTATGTGAAGGATCAAATGGTTTTCAAGTACAGCATTTTATAATGACGGTAATAGAAATAATGAGGAGTAATAAAGATTCCAAAATAAAAATACCAATTTTATCCCCTATTCACCCTAGTAGGATAACCAACTATAAGTATGTGCCTCATAACATGTGTTCTGATGACCTCTGACCACATACATCTCCCTGGGGTGAGGATGGGGGGGCCTTTCTTTCTTGGAAGGGCGCCAGGCTCAGCTTGCTGCCTGTGAGCTGAGGGAGAGCTGAACTGTAACCATCGTGACTTGTTTTAGTGCGTATCCTGTCTGATCACCTCATGGGTTGTTGCCTGCAGGGAGACCATGGACTGTGGCCACTCCACTCTGTCCCTCAGGACTTCCAAATCAGACCCCGCTCTCTGAGAATGCTCAAAGAGCACTAATGTGCTATAGTACTTTGTAAGATTATAACTGATGCACATTTGGACACTGGAGGCCATCCCATAGGACTGGTGAAGGCTAGCTGATTCATATGGGTGTGGTTAAATTGTTCCCATCAAAGGGGCTTGGAGGGGAAGACAACCTGACTTCACCTTCCTAATTGAGGCGATACTCAGATGAATCTATCTGTCCCACAGTTGTTATTTGGCCCTACAATTCGTTGTATACTGTTGGGGATTTGGAAGGTTCTTTAGCTAGCTTTTCTTAAGTATTTGATAAAGTAAGGGTTTTACGTAACACTAAAGGTTATTAAATTTACTGCCTGGATTTTGTTTGCATCTGAAAAGAAATTGTGTACCAGTGGAGAATCTAGTAATAATGATTTCCTATAGTAATGAACTATCTTTTTGTACCCATAGATGATTACTAATCCAATTATATACCTATAGTGAGCAGACCTACGAGGGCAGGCCAGACTTACTTGAGATGGGGAGGGCATCACATATTCAACAATTAAGTCTTTTTAAATGGTGAGCACAAACATTTTCCCAGTCTGGGAAAACATGAGGCATGACTGTCACCAAGGTAAATAGAAACAGATCAAGCCTGATCCAGGGGCCAGGGTTAGCCACTTGTCTCAGGTGTCATCCATTTCTTTTTGTAAAGTGGTGTTGAGTCAGTTTTGACTCAGAACAACCTTGTATAGTGTTTCTGAGGCTTTCTAAAATCTTAGTGGGAGTAGAAAACCTCATCTTACTCCCATGGAATAACTGGTAGGCTCAAACTGACAACCCATGGTTTGCAATCCTGTGCTTATCCCACAGAGCCACCATACTCCCTTTATCTACTCCTAGGGATATGTAAAGGTAACCTTCAATTCTTTGGTGGGTTGACTATTCCAAAGAGGAATTTTAGTCTTTTTAACTTGTGACAAACAGGTACAAGGTTTTATTCCCTCCAGTTGGGTTGCATGTGCATTGGTGAAAACTATATCCTATTTGAACTAGGTTCTAATGAGTCTTTTAGGAGCTTTGGTAGCGTAATGGTTACGAATCGGGCTGTGAGCCGCAAGGTCAGCAGTTTGAAACTGCCAGCTGTTCTGCTGGAGAAAGATGAGGCTTTCTGCTCCCGTAAAGGTTTACAGTCTCGGAAACCCTGTACGGGTCACTATGAGTCGGAACTGACTCCAGGGCTCATAACAACAACAACAATGAGTCTTTTATTACGTATCTCTTCTAATATACCTGTCTTCAGGGGCAATGAAACAGATTTATGGAGTCTAGTTTCTACCCTCCAAAAGACTTGTCTGAGCTGTGAAAGGCAGTCGGTAGAATTAGAATACCATGTTCAACCCTAACAATACCTCAGTACTTCAGGTTGGACAACATTAGATTCAGAGTAGGTAACAGAAGGGAGGCCTGTGGGTCTACTAGGAATAGTGTCATAAGGGGTAAGTGTGTGATATTCAAATGGTGTGAACCTGAAATTTAATAGAATTAAGGGAAGGAAGGACCTTAGTCCAGGAAAAATGGAAAGTTTCACAAAGCTCTGTTGTTTGGATCTGTGTTATTCTTTTAGTTCACTTTACTAGACTAGGAAACTGAAAATTAGTTCCCAGTGACCACCGCTCGTCTTGTCAGTTTGTAGTACTGTGGTAGCTTGTCTGTTGCTGTGATTCTGGAAGCTATACTGCAGGTATTTTAAATACCAGCAGGGTAACCCATGGTGGACAGGTTTCAGATGAGCTTCCAGCCGAAGACAGACAAGGAAGGAGAGACGAACTACATCTGAATATTTAGTCACTGAAAACCTTATGAATAGCAGTGAAACACTGTCAGATATAGTGCCGGGAAATGAGCCCCTCAGGTTGGAAGGCACTCAAAATGCAACTGAGCAAGAGCTGCCTCCTGAAAGTAGAGTCAACTGTGATGACACAAATGGGAGTAAAATCCTCGGGACCTTCATTTGCTGATGGGGCACAACTCACAATGAAGAGAAAGAGCTGTAAACATCCATTAATAATCAGGACATGGAATGTATGAAATATGTATCTAGGAAAATTGGAAATTGTCAAAAATGAAATAGAACACATAAACATGGATATCCTAGGCATTAGTGGGCTGAAATGGACTGGAATTGGCCATTTTGCATCTGACAGTCACATGGTTTACTGTGCTGAGAATGACAAACTGAAGAGAAAGGGCATCTCATTCATCCTCAGAAAGAACATGTCAAGATCTGTTATGAGTTGCAGTGCTGTTTGTTATAGGGTAATATATGTGCCTACAAGAGTCCTGGTGTGGTACTGTGGGCTAATGAGTCAGACTGTGAAGTCATTTGAACTGCAAAGTTGGTGGTTCAAGCTCAACAACTGCTCCTTGGAAACCCTATACAGGGCTGCTGTGGGTTGGAATCAAAGTGAGGGCATTTAACAACAACAACAGCAGGGAAGACCAATTGATACCACTATTATTAAAAATTATACACCAACCACTAAAGCCAGTGAGGTTGAAATTGAAAAATTGTATCAACTTCTTCAATCTGAAATTGATCAAGCATTCAACCAAGATGTATTGATAACCATGGGCGATTGGAATGCAAAGATTGGAAACAGGAAGGATCCGTAGTTGGGAAATATGGCCAAGTAGAAATGATGCTGGAGATCACATGATAGAATTCTTCAAGAACAATGACTTCTTCATTGCAAATACCTTTTTTAAACAGCATAAAAGATGACTATACACATAGATCTCATAAGATGAAATACACAGAAATCAAATTGACTACATCTGTAGAATGGCCCAGTGTAAAGCTCCATATCATCAGCCAAAACAAGGCCAGCGGCAGATTGTGGAACAGACCATCAATTACTCACATGCAAGTTCAGATGAAAGCTGAAGAAAATGAAAACAAGTCCACAGGAGCCAAAATATGGCCTTGAACATACCCCACATGAATTGAGAGATCAGATGAAGAATAGATTAGATGCATTAGAGACCGAAGGTCAGAAGAATTGTGGGATGACATCAAGAACATCATGTAGGAAGAAATCAAAAGGTCATTAAAAAGACAAGAAAGAAGGAAAAAACCAAAATGAATGTCAGAAGAGACTCTGAAACGTGCTCTCCAGCATAGAGATACTAAAGCAAATGGAAGAAACGAGGAGGTACAAGAGCTGAACAGAAAATTTCAAAGGTCACCTCCAGAAGACAGAGTTAAATATTATAGCTAAATGTGCAAAGACCTGGAGTTCGAAAACCAAAAGGGAAGAACTCACTCAGCATTTTTCAGGCTGAGGGAACTGAAGAAAAATTCAGGCCTCAACTTGTGTTATTGAAGGATACTCGGGGCAAATTGTTGAATGTTGCAGAAAGCATCAAAAGATGATGGAAGGAATACACAGAGTCACTGTACCAAAAGGAGAAATGGTCGATGTTCAGCCATTTCAAGAGGTAGCATATGATCAAGAG